CCTGTTGTGCTGTTCGGGGCCTGTTAAAGCAGGTCGGTTTTTAAAATTACCTCTGCCATCCACCACCTTGCCCATCGCCTCTCCATCCAAGTGCCTGAGGCCCCGGCTCCCCACTAGGAGGGGAGAGGACTCCACACACACCTCAGGCCTGGCAGGCCACCAAGAGGGGTGTGACTGGATTCCAGGAAAAAGGGAGGGGGGAGGAAAGGACAGCTGGGGAAGACAGGAGGGGGTAAGGAGCAAGGAAAGGACTTCCACCTCGGTTTACACATTCATTTTTATCAAGATGTGGGGGGAAATTTTACCTTGGGCCTGCTCATGTCATACATGGGCACTGAGGAGACCAATCTGTAAAAGCTTATATGCAAAGATAGTAATAGTTAACATTTACTGAGCATTTGATTTGGTGCTTTATACTGAGACTGAATTGCCTGAATTCAGAATCAGCCTATGCAAAACGTGAAATGGGTCAGGGCCTAGAGGCACAGAGAAGTAACTTGGCCAGGGTCCCATAGCCAGGAAGAAGCCAACATTCTAACCTTTGTGATTTGGCTCCAGAAAAAAAACCTTTTACTGGTTAGGTTAGAAAGCAGCTCTCTTCAGGAGGGGTATCCTATGGGCAGAGTGCACAGAAATTAAAATTTATGTTTCCCTCCCCCACACCCACCCACTACCCCCTTTCCTAACCCACCCCCTCTGTGCCTCAGTTTGCAGTCACGTGTTCAAGAGTTTATTGTTGACCTGGTTTTAACTGACCCTTATGTTTTGCTACATTCCACATATAGGTGAGGCCTTGGGGTATTTGTGTTTTCTTTCTGATTCAGCATCATTGTGCAACCAGCCCAGGCTCCTGCAAAGCATTTTGCAGGCCTGTAGCGCTGAGACCCGGGGCCATACCCAGGGCAGGCAAACAGACTCCCACACTGAGAAGCAGCACAGCAACCCACTTCCTGGTCCCCTTACTCGGTGAAGTGCCCTCAGCCCTTATATTGTTGCAAACACAAGGCCCATCTGTTGTTTACTGGATGTCCAAGGTGGAAACAGCATTTCAAGGAATGGGCTGTTGTGGGGAAGGTGAAAACAGCCTGATTTACTTCTTTTCTTTAGGGTCATCCGTTCCAGTTTCATCCATGTTGTCAAAACGGCAGTTTTGTGCTGCTAAGTGCTATTCCAGTGTGTGTGTGTGTGTGTGTGTGTGTGCTTCTGATCCAACCCATTTTTCTGATCCATGACAGCTATTATACAGAGTGCTGCAGTGAACAAAGGGTTCTGTGTATCCCTTCCAATCAGTGTTTTTGCATTCTTCAGCCAGATACCTGGGCGTAGAATTTCTAGATCATAGGTAGATCTATTTTTAACGCTTTGAGAAACACGGGGCTGGGCCAGTCTACATTACTGCCAACAGGGTAGAAGGGTTTTCCCTTTCTCTCCACGTCCTCAGCAACACTTGTTTAAAGAGAATTTTAACAAAATGTAAAAAGACAAGTTAAAATACCTTAAAAACACAAAATTATAGATCTGACCTCAACTCAAAAAAGGGCTTTTTTTAAAAAGAACTTGAAAAATACAACTATATTCAAGGGCCTCCCTGGTGGTGCAAGGGGTTGGTCTAAGCACAGCACTGCCAGGCTGTCTGCAGCGCTATGAAATAATCTACAGTCACTGCAGCGGGAGTTCCATACCCAAGCAGGAAGAGCTGACCCACCGGTACAGCAGACCTCTCCTGTCTTCAGAATATGTGTGTTGCCCGCTGCTCCCCTCAGCAGTGTGCTTCCT